AAAAAAAGGCTAGCTGGTCATCACTTCATAAATGAAACTTTCTCCTGGAGGAGGAGACTCTGGTGGAATGGATGACTCTCGGCCGGTTCCATTACTGGAAGTAATCCACTTAGTCCCCACAATATAGACATTTCGAAGCCGTAACCTACCGGAAAGCATCACAGTTTACAAGCTCATCCAATTCTTTATTTGGACGAGCTCGAGGTAATTGGTCCATCTCATCGTCGCTTACATCGCACAGATTATTTTCCGGTGCTGCCGATGCACCCTACACAAGAAAAATTGTGTCATAAGATATATCCCTTGTTATTTCGTCGATTTTACAACTGTCTATGCTAGATGCAACATATCGTGCAGCGTATGAGTTATGGAGGAGAAATGAGTATATCGCTGAACGTGAGCCGTCAAATTCCGAGTCAACTTTTCTATCGCCGAACAATTTGAATTACTAGATAACCGCGTAGGACTACTCCATGAACGGTGAAACTTAATTTGTGAGTACTATTTGGTCATGAGATTGACACATCGGATACGGTTGCAAAAGGATTAGTGCTTTGTTCAAATTAGAAAGGTGACCTATAACATTCAGGAACAATTTCGCGATGAAGTGGAGAGAGCATAAAGATGTAACACATTATTATCACGAGATATGTATTAGGTCATTCCATAAGTTAGTGCCGTTTTCAATCTCGTGCTCATTTCTCTGAAAGACAGTTGTTTTGCGGCAAGGCGCGCATACTTGAGAAGAGCTGATCATGCTTCTTTCAACTTATTGAATCTGATCCACTTCAATTTCCCAGCTATCAAAGGAGGACTTCTCAAGAAACAAAAAGAAGCATCTTAAATTTTTGCATAGATTTTTCTGCCGATTTGATGGCTTTCGGACATCAATATGAGACATAAAAGAAATGGATTGCTTCAAGAGACCAGAGGTTGAACAGGGTGTCCCTTTAACGAAACTCTTCATGGGACGAGCAGGACGTCCAGCACTGAAAATTGCTGGAGAACAACAAAACGGTTGATCATACCGTACGCAACCCAGCTGTACCGTTCAACGAATCTCTAATGCAAAAAAAGACCCAGAAGACAGGTCCAATGAGTTTCTCTGCATGACAAGCATGGCTTCATACGGCAAACGTCTTCAAAACTATTCTGCAAAACTTTACTAGAATGTACTTCAGTACCCAACGTACTTCCCAAATCTTGCTCAATCAGATGATTATTTGTTGCGCTCTCTTGCAAACCATATGAACGATATGATATCCGACTCCTAAGACAATCTCAGGCGCTGATTGAACGACTTTTTGGGACCATGCCGAGTTTTTATGCGAACGGATGCGCGATTGGACATACGTTACCAACAGAAGATAAAATTCCATCATTTTGTTGGTTTATGAAAACGGTACGAACTTAAGGAATGATTTGATACATATCCTCATCAACAATGATGAAAGGAGTTCTTGATTTCCCTATTTTCATAAATGAAACCAAAAATCTCTGCTCTATCTCCCATTCGTTAGTGCAAAAATATGTGCGCTATATTTGCCAACATGGATATTACGGCAATTTTGCAATTCAAAGAGAGGGATCTTTAAATGGGCCCAGATGAAGTGCTGAAGATTATCAACATACTGTATTTGGCAGAACAGCATCGAGAGAGTCATTTAACGGGGCATCCGGTACGTCTCCAGTATTCTAATAACAGCAAATAGAGAATAAAAAATGACGAAAGAGCAAAAAAGGAAAAGTCGAAAAAAGAAAAGGTCACAAAGCATACCTCAACATCAACTTCAACGACCTCGATGGGGACGTCCTTAAATTGTAGAATTACTCAGAGTGAGGCAAAAGAAAAACATAATGATCTTAGTCTTTTAGTACATAATGACTAAAAACATCAGATAAAGATCACACACCTCAGAATCGCCAGTAGTACCACTCTGACCCCGAGAAACCTGGGGCGCCTGAAAAGAACAGCTTGAATCAAAATCCAGTCATTAAGTAAAGCCAGAGATGACAATGTGATACTTCGCAATGATAAAGAAGCCCATGCAATGAAATTTTAGTCCGTTCACTAAGTTTTGCAACCAAGTCCGTAACTTT